CCAATCTTAGGGATGAATCAGAGAGCAACCTGAATCGAAAGTGGATTGTGCGAATCGGCAGCGAATCTGAATGAATCGCAACAAATCAAGATTCATGTAAAATATTAAAAAAAAAAAAACTAAAATATGGGCCCAAATGCAAACATAGAAGGAGATTAAACTTCACATATATTAAAAAAAAAAAATTAAACGACGCAATGTCTGAAAGACAGAAGCAACAATACCTGGTTGGCTTACCAGGGTTATTTTGAACTTAGGAACAATACAAATTATTAAGTTTTTTTAGTATATGATTGATATTAAAATTTTCTATGTGAAGTAATGAGAAAATTAATAATAATAAGGTAATATTATTGAGACAGATTGAGAACAGATATTCATGGCAATGAGCTTTTTCAATTGTCACGTGTATGTTAAATTACAGTAAGAAGTCTGAACCCTAGCCTGAAGTAATGAGAAAATTAATAATAATAAGGTAATATTATTGAGACAGATTTCATGGCAATGAGCTTTTCATTGATCACGTGTAATGTTAAATACAGTAAAGAAGTTCTGAACCCTAGCCCTCTACAAACTCTGCAAATCAGGAGAATACATTGTACATCAATTTCTTACAAAAGTAAATGGATAGTAAAACTCATCACAAACTCAGTTCTAAGCAAACTGGAAGAGAGCTTGAGGTAGTATTGCTGCACCTTGAAGAAGCCGACTGAAGCAGAATCCATAACTTCAATCTCTTTCACAAAATATATAATCTTTCAGGGATGTCAACTGTTTTAAGAATCCCCAAATTTCTCTACAGCATTGTAACATTAAAGAATTTTTTTGTGAAAACCACGAACAGATTTTCACCGGTTTTGAGAGTGGTTTTGAAGACTCTCAATCGCCTTTTTCCACTGCCATGCCCTTTGTTTTGTATCCTCAAATGCCAATACCTTCTTTGGCTGAGCAGTTACACAGCTATTGGTCAGAAATATGAAAAAGCAAAAGAAAAAAAGAACAAAAATGGAAGAGGGAGGCAGAGGGAAGAATATAACAATCTGGAAACAATAAATTGTTGTTTTCAATTAATATGATGCCATGCTGAGACCACAAATAAATGGTCCCTGACAATTACAAGAAAACAGAAAAATTATTTCTGGGAAATGATAGGAGAAATAAATGCATACCGTAAAGATCTTGAAATTTGATGGACTTATAACCTGGACATTGAGGTCATTAGAATTGTCAGACCAAATTATATTTCCCTTTACCAATAACTTGGAAGGATCCACATAAATCAATTTGGGTTTGTTAGTGAGAATGAGCTGCACTTTCTTGCTTGTCAATTTCTGTAATTTTTTAACCATTGAGATCATAAGAACAGATTCCCCTGGATCCAAAAATTGTTGCCTGATAGTATTCATAATCAATGAGTTAGATTCTGTAGGTAGCCCAGAAGAAGTGCAGATGCCACCACTCAGAAACTCCAGAAACAACATTCACTAATGATGACTTTCCGTGTCAATTTAAATAATGCACAATGGAATCCATTAAAAGTTTTATAAACATGAAACAATAAACAAATTTATAAGTAGCATGTTCCAGAGCTTAATAAAGACCTTCGTCCCGCAGGTTAAAAGATAAAACAATCTTCTAAAAGATGAGCTATACCTTTTTCCTGATAATTTTATTACACAATAAGCTCTCTTTGAGTCGAATATAATAAAACTTGCACCATGTTTCAAATCAACACTTATTCTGCAAGTTCAGGGAGTTGACGAATCTTTAACGCCAATGAATTTGTCAAGCCCCTGTGCTCTGAATAAGTTCAACATGCAATCTTCCTCTAATTGCTTAAAGTGCATAATATAATGAGTTGCAAGGAAATCAATATTAAACATTAATTCCAATTGAATGGGTGGTTTTTAGTTAAATCTATGCTATAAGAGGCAACAAGAATACATTTAAAAAGTAATGTATATCTCAAACAGTCTATGCTAAAAGATTTTGCATGCAAAAGTATCCGAAAATCTTGTGGAGATCATAATTGAAAACAACAGATTAAAGCTAATGTTGGACTAACAGAAACAGTGTTGAGCCAATACCATTTAGAATCAAAGGAATCGATGGAGGCAAGTCTAGTTATAGAACCAGATGCTTCAGCAGATGATGGAGTTCCAACAGTCCCATCAATCTGTCTTACTGAACCATCCCCAACATGTGTAGGATTCCATGAAGAATCCTGTTCATTTTCACCATCACCAGATTGTGCCTGTAAAAAAGAACAAAGCCAAACATTATAACAGAAGGAAAAATGCAAAAGAAACTGAAGATAATTTAATTATAAATAGAATTATACTGTTGACTCCAAAGCAAGTTTTGGAGGAGTTTCCTCTCTTATATTCTTCCAGTTAATTCCCTTAAAGAAAGGATGCATTTTGAGAGCAGCATAACCATCAGGTCCAGCACCTGGTCTTCTGCTGGGATCTATATCCTACACGTTTTTCCATGGAAAATAATATATCACAAATTATGAACATGATTTCATAAAGAACTACAGTAACCATAATCACTACTAATTGATACTTGAACAAAAATGTAGAAGGAAATAAAGACAAGGTTCATCACTTGTAACTCACTTTATTGAATGCCGACATGTGTACTACTCATGCATTGTACAACAAGACTGTACCACCACGAGGAAAACCTAGCCCCTTGTCAACTAGTTACGTGCTTCACAATTTTAAAGACCTTAACACTCATGTTCCATGTCGATACACAACAGGAGAAGATGTACACATTATCAACCAAAAATAAATTCATACATCATATGCTTTTTATCACAATCACAACCCATGTCTAGACGTGGTCCCTTGTCCTTTGATCAGAGGCTCACTATATTATTGAGCAAATTATAGCATATCTTTTTAATTGCACACACAATTTTCATCGTAAAAAATATATCTAGCATCTACATGGATCTACAAATTCATTTTATACTTAGACATAGAATAACAGAACAATCAAAAGTAATTGCAAGAGTGGATTACTGTAGTAAAAAGTCATTCTCAAAATAAAGTCCAATGTGCAAAAACTAGGTAGCTTACCAATAACCTATCAATGATGTCTCTAGCTTCTTCTGAAAAATAGTTGGGAAATCTTATATCCCTGGCTATAATTCTTTGAAATATAAGCCATTCACTTGCATCTTTGAAAGGAGAAGTTCCTGAAAGCATCTGGTACAAGGTGCAGCCAAGTGCCCAGAGGTCATTTCTGTTTGAATTTGATCAAAAAGGCAAACAGTTAACTGAGAAGCTTAACTATATGTGTCACCTAACAGAAGCCGCATTATAAAACACACCAATAGTCTACTAGTGCTAAGACTTTATTCCAGTTATAATCATATTTTAGTCTGACTAACATGCCTGGCTCACTTATAGAAACAAGTCACTTACCCAAATGTTGCAGGAGAAGAGTTGAGGACTTCTGGAGGGACATATGCAGCTGTGCCCACAAATGTGCAAGCTTTATCATCTGAGCATAGCATCAACAAAAGCAAAGTTAACCTAAGACGCAAAAGCACGGTCAAAAAAGTTTATGGATGGTAAAATTCCAGCATTACCAGAGGCTGCATTTGGAAGGACTGTGATGCGACTATCTTGCATTGGCTTCACACTCCCAAAATCAGCAATTTTAATATGTCCATCTCCAGTAAGCAGCAAATTCTCTGGCTGCAATTCGAAAACTTTTAGCATTTTTTGAATGCCGACAAAAAGAATTCATATATGACAGAATTACCTTAATATCTCGATGTATTAATCCCATACTATGTATGTATTCAAGAGCATCCACAACTTCTGCAGCATAGAAACGAGCTTCCTCCTCTGGTAGACGACCTTTCTGCAAACATACAAAGGTTCCAGATATTTGCCTATGTACATATACAAAAAGAAAGTGGCATAAGCCACCACATGCTAGAAAGGGATAACAAAATTCAAATTTATAAACAGTCAGAATCTGCAAATGGAGTGCATCTAGAGATTGGTAATAAATTTCTAATGCCCATTTTGATCAAATTAGAGCCATGCTGTAGACAGAAAACTTGAGATATATATATGGATATATGAATTTAGAACAATATAAAGTTTTCAATAAGCCAACAAAGTGCAGTAAAACATCCCACATTTGGAAGAAATTCAGATGACATGCTTCGTGAAGAAGTTTCTATTAATTGGTTGACAGGAATACACAAAGCAGGCCTTTGAGGAAGTGGAAAAAGTTTGCTACTAATACTAATAGTTGATTTAGGAATTTTAGACTTTGGAATGGCACAGTTTTTTGACAGTGCTTTCATTTAATTTTGTCAATTCTCTTTCATGGAATAATGTCCCATTCATTTTGGATGAATCCAACTTCCAATAAATATTGGTCTTTTTTCTCACAATAAATGAAGCATTGTTCAGAAGTTTCTTATACTAGCTTACCCTGGTTATTTGGTCAAAAAGCTCTCCACCTTCACAGGATTCAAGGGCCATGTCTGCACATAATCAAAGAGACCACTTTAATTTCATAAACCAAACCAAACACACCAATAATACTCTGTGTTTATGCTAAAGGAAAGGACTGAACTATTTCAAGTGCATGGAAATTTGGAAAGATTGTTACCAAAGATACCTACACAGTGAAAAGGTATCTTGAAAAGTAAAAAATAGCCGCACAATTCCAGGGTGATCCAATTGGTCAAGAACGATACGTTCCAACTTCACATAAGCTGTTTTATTTTCTTTGGTAATGAATTTTTTGTCCATGATCTTCAAGGCATATACCACTCCAGTATCCTTCTTTTTTGCCCTTACTACCTGACAGATCCATTACTATGATATTCAGTATCATCACTAAGAAGAAGCCAAAGGGGCAACAATCATAGGCATATACTGCTGCAAATGTGAAGAAGTGAACATTTTCTGTAAAGTATAACAAAAAGAAGGACGTCTGAAAGGGGGAAATACTACTGTATTCCTAAATTTTACGGAATCCAGAAATTCACTACACACTGTACTTGGTCAAAAATAATAATAATAATAATAATAATAATAATACCAAAGAGAGATCAGTAAAAAGAAACAGCAGAAAATAATAATACTTTTTGCTTCTCAAATATGATATAGAGAGATTGCATGTCGTTAGGGTCAGAAAGGAGCTAGTAACGTAAGTCCAACACTTTAAAAATGTTTTTCCTTTAACATGCAAAAAACCTATAGTTTCTTCCATTTCTTGAGCATTCAACACGTCAGGACTGAACTACAGCAAATTGGATATGCATAAATCTAGTAGCAATAAATAAACAGCTGAACATCATGTCAAACAACAACGGTGGAACACAAAAAAGAATATAATTTTATCAAACAAGAATCATAAAACCAATGATTATATCACAAGAAAATGTTAAAAGATGGTTCTTTTCTGACTGATGCTACTCAATCCTAATAACGAAATCATCTAATAGTCATGGTGCAATAAAATCCAACCAACTTTCAAATTAGGTCCCTGTCCAACATCCAAACAACAGAACATTTGAGATCCCTAAGTAATGTGTAAACCTAAAACAACAAGCTTTTCCTTTAACGGAGGCTCTGAACACCGATACCCTTTTTTATTTTTCCATTTTCCCAAAATGTAACTAAAAGGTTCAACACCTCTGTGATGTTTCATTGGCCGCATAGTAAGACAATACAGATAGATTTAAAGACATTGATAAATAACTGATGCCAGCATCAAAGAGAGCCTGGTATAAGACATTATTAAGTTCTAGTTTTATTAATACGGAACCCAGCATCAAATTGAAAGGTAAATTTCCATATCCTACACACCCTTAAAATGAAGTCAGAACGAAAAATATTTTGTTAAGAAGGGACATCATATTTATAGGTTGTGAATATAAAATCCAAGCTTCATTATGTATTGAAGGGTACCCAATGAATTTATTGCAGAAAGACTCATTTATTATCATCAAATATGATTACCCATGAAATAATGGTATATATTAAAGATAAAAAAAAAGAATTACATGTATAAAATGGTATTAAAGAAAATTACATTGATATATAGGTTTATGAATCAAAGGAAATAATAGGTAATACAAATATCACCAGACAAAAATAACCACCCCAATATACAATAAAAACAAAACGACCCATCAACCTAAATAACAGATAACCAATAGAAAGCAACTAGAGAAAACAAAACTCAATAAAACAATTAAGAGGAAACTAAATAAATCAAACCTTTGAATAAGAACCAACACCATAGATCTTGCCAAGCTCAAAATCCTGAATACCAAAATTCTCCTGAGGAGCCCTGAAAGAAAAGCTCTTAGATTTCTGCACACTCCCATTGTTAGCAGAAGCAGAAGAAGGGGAAGAGGAGGAAGAAGAAGAAGAATTATTGCTGCTCTGAATCCTTAGCTTTGAATCAAAATCCTTCTCCATTGCCAACATCTCTCTGTATCAAACTATCTCCAAATAACAATAAATATTAACAAATACACAGTTTCTCTCTTTAAGACAAAAAAAAAAACAACTTTCTCTCTCTAGAAATCTTGGGAGGAGAGTTTTCAAGTCAAAAGAGAAGCCAATGGATCAGAATCAGAGGGAAAGTTTGAGTCTTTATATTCTCTGATAAAAAGAAAAGTGAATAAGATTCTCTCCCTCCCTCTCTCTTTCTGTCTCTGATATGTGCATATACATATATGTGCCTATATGGGTATATGTGTATAATCTGAATGTGATCAGCTTTTGGTTTGGTGATGTAAATTCTCAAAACCCTAGAAAGTGGATTATGTGTTATAATTGAGGAGGAGAGGGAATGTGAAATTTGATGGAGGAGAGGGAGGTATGGGGATTGAAGAGAGGAGGCACATGGGATTCAATGATGGATATCAATTCTTTCATTTTCCATTTTTTTTTTCTTTTCAAATTCTTTTCTCTCTCTAGATTAGAAAACCTTTTGTGGGTGCTTAATGGTATCCATTATTGGCAACTTGTCTCCATGTCATACAATAAAATTTGAGGTATATGGTCTATTGTTGTTGTCAAGTTAAAAAAAAGGCTAAAAATTAACTAAAGATATTTAGCTAAAACAATAAGTTGATCCATGTCTTTAACAACAAATAGTTGATCCTTATTTTTTTTTTTTCAATTAATTTAATAAAGTCAAATTTTTAAAAAAAAAAGTGAACTTTAAATATCTAATTTCAGGCTAGGGGAAAGTCTACTAGCTTCAATTAGTTGCTTGGATAAATTATTTTGATATATTAATACAATAAATTGAATTTGCTGATAAAAAAAATATCCCTGTATTCTTTTTATTTTTCAATTAAAAAATTCAATTATTGTAGTATTAGATTCAATTTTCCTTGATCACAAAAAATTTTACCAATTTAATAAAGTCAGAAAAAGATATGTTTATGGTTAGATGTTATGTTTTATTACTTATTCACATTCTATTGCGCTCAATTTTTATTAAAATTTGAGTTTTAGGATAAATTTGGAATTAATTGGCCTAAAAGTGAAAATTTAAGAATCAATTTGATTGTCCTTAAGATTGAAGTCATTTTAGGGTTTCTCTCCTCTTTTCTCTTTAGTCTATCTAATCCTAATTTTTGTTTAGAGTTGCTATTGTTTAACAGCGATAGCCTTCTACTTTTTATTTTTCCTTCTCGCTGTGATCTTTTATTCATTTTCAATAAACTCATCTATTTTCTTCTAATAGATTTATTTTTTTAGATGTCTTTTTTACTATTGTTTTGTTCTCATATTTATAGTTCTTTTGCCCCTTATTCCGTAAGGGTTTAGTTCCTTCTTTGTGAAGGTTTATTACTAAAATGTATGTTATCTGATTTTATTTGGTTGGAGATTTTAGATATTGTTTTATTGATGTGTATCTTCAACCAATGGAGCTTAATAGTGCAGCATGTTACTCAATTGATGCTATTAATGCATAGTAGCATGAACTCATCCGTGTATATCATATACAACAAGTTTTTGAAAAGCAATCAAACCATTCAAGATCTGGAGAAGTTACTTTGCCGTTCAAATCAATTAAAGGACCAGTTGCTACTATAAAGATTTATATCGATTAAGGTCATCTTCAAACCGAAAAATCCAATATTATTTCTTTTAATTTTAGTTTTATTATTCAAAAGGATATGAATAATTCTTTTGTTGTTAAAATATCAACCAACTTTCTATTAATTATGATAGTAAGTTAATCGAGTATTTGTAATATTTAATTTTATTATTAATAAATTATATTTCTAAAAAAATCAATTTGATTAGAAAATTTTGAATATGGTTAGACCAATTAAAAAAATTTAAAGGCCAATATGATACTGATTGGCCGATGAAAAAATTAAAGGAAAAAATGAACATGCTTATCATTTCACTTATGAATTTGATTAAAATTATTTTTGAATAGTAAAAAATTTCAATGGGTATTTTGGTGTAACAAGAAGCAAGTAAATTATTTAGAAATGTATGTATGATAATGTTGGAATTTTGGAATTTAAATCAATAATATTTTGTTCCTTTTTTAATAATAATAATAAATTATAAGTGCATGTTCTTTTTCTTATGATGTTTTTCAAAAGATTATTATACTTTTGTCTTAGAATAAGATACACTAAAATTAAAAAAAAAAAAAAGATGAAACATTTAAAAATTAGAAGATGAAGGAAACAATCTAGGAGAACAAATTAAAAAAGGATATTTTGGAAGTTAAATATCATAGTGGGCATGTCCTAATATTCTTTTCTTTAATTTATAAAGTACATTATTGACAAGAGGGGAAAAAATATTAATTTCTTCATGGAATTTTTTGATAGCCTTACTTAAATTTCAAGGCAAATGACATACAAGACAAAGATTTTGTAGGATGTCATTTCTAATTTTCTACCACTAAAGTTTTAGTATGAGGTTTCTATAACTTGGCATGATCTTAGTTTTTTTTTTTTTTTTCTTCTTCTTCAACATCACACATCAAATAGATAAATTAATAATTTTGACAATGATTTGAGAAGAATATGAACAAATTATTCTTGTTGTTTTTGATAAAAGGTTCATATTTTTTCAACTATATTATATACTTCTATTTTTATTAATGTCATTTTTAAAAATTATTAATTTGTTTAAACTATATTTAACACTCCAATAGCAAATTATTTTCAAAACCAATGAGTTGTAAATTGAATTTGTAAAATTAAAAGTATAGAATTCGTTTATTTACAATATCTTCGAATAATTTTTTGATATATAGGAGAAATATGCAGGGGCAATCCCTCCGTTTTGAATAACATTCACCAAATTAGTGATAAGAACTCGAACTTGAGACTTTATAGGAAGATCAATCAGACCACATATAATTTACATCTTTGAATAATTTTTGAATTCACTAAGTTTTTTACTTTTTCATTAGAGGTTATTTACCATATTGTATTCACATGCTTAAGAAAAAAAATAATTTTAAATCATTATATATAATTTATATAAAACTAAAAGACATAGAAAAAAATGAAAAGAGATAAATCAAGCATATTCAGATATAACCTAGTGGTAAGTCCATATACGACTTGACAATAAGTTTAGACTCAAATCCCCACCTTCAATGCTCAAAAAATAATAATAAATCAACATAGTGGTTATCATCATTTTCCCCAATTTTCTATGTTTATGACTATGAATATTTGTCTTTTTGACAATTATATTTAAACTAGTAATAAACCTCTTCTGGATTATGCCGAATTTTGTAATTTATCAGTTTTAAATTTTAATATATCAAGTGTAGAATATTAGAAATGAATTAAAATAATTAACTCAAATTTTAATTATGCTCTCGAAAACACGCTTCAAATTTAATTATCATTTTCATATTTTTTCAAATAAAATATAACAAATCCATTGTTTAAGATGTATTAAAATAAATCATTTGAATTATTAACATTTGTTGTTTTAATAATTTGATTTAGTTACTCTCACCTTTTCTTTTCTCTCTGATTCATCAAATTCTAATTTTAGTTTAAGGTTGTCGTTGTTAACCAGTGGCAGCTCTTTATTTTTCGCTTTTTCTTTCAGTCTTGATCTTTTATTCGCTTTTAATAAACTTAGATCTGTTTTATTATAATGAATATATTTTTCTTTAATTTTTTTATTGTTGTTGTTTTGTCTCCATATTTAGAGTTTATTTGTCTCTTCTTCTATGAGGATTCGTGAGGGTTTAGCACTAAATAAATGTATGGTATTTTAATGATATTCTAATTTGATTAGAGAATTTAGATCTTGATTTGCAAATGTGTATCTTCGATCAGTGGAGCCTTGTAGTGCAACTTGTTCCTCCATTTATACTATTGACGCACAGTGACAGGAATTCATTTATATACATCATATGCAACAAGTTCTTGAAAAAGCAATTCACGTACACAAGATCCGTAGAATTTTTTCATTCGAATCAATTAGAGAATCAATTGCTACTACGAAGATTTATATATGTTGTTAAAGTCATCTTCAAGTGGAAAAGTTAATATGGTCTCCGTTAAGTTTAGCTTTATTATTCTTTTGATTTGTTAAAAAGATCAGCGAACTCTTTATTAATTATAATAGTAAGTTATATGTTGAATCTAATTCAATATTTGTAATAATTGATATTATTATTATTAATGAATTATATTTTAAAAAAAAATCTTTGGAATTGAATATTTAATTTGATTTTATTAAATTGATAAAGAAGAACACTTTATAGTATTTAAAACCGTGTGCATTCAATTGTGTGGATGACAATAATTGATCTATAAATTATTGAGTAAAAAATATATAATTAACTAGTTTTATATGTGTCACTTGATTAATTTGCTTTATTTTATATAAACAATTTAGATGTTAAAATTAATTTATTATATCGAACTACCAAAAAAAAAGGATTATATATAATGTATTATATATGAATTGGGAGAATATCTAACCAAACACTCCAATAAATTTTCCATCCATAGTGTTCCTTTTTTTTTTTTTTTTGTACATTTTGTTAAAGAATAAGAAACAATTTTATCCTGTAAAATCAATAAAAAATACTTCCTTTATTCTAAAATATAAGTCGTTTTCAAGTGATTATTTGACTATTTTTATCTAATTATATATATGTATATATCATTTGACTATTTTTTTTCTTTCTAAAATTATACATTGACCCTCAAAACATTTTTTGAATCCGCCAATCTCATGGATGCCATGTAATGCAAACTGAAAAAAAAAAAAAATTCTTGAAGCAATTACTACATTCACATGTCTAAATTCTAAAAAAATATTGTATTAACTATATATCTTTTTTTTTATTGTAAAATGTTTCTTTATCTTAAAAAAAAAAAAGCATAATTATGTTTATGTAGAGTGTAAAATTGATCCATTATAAAATTTATAAAGTAGGGTCCAAAAAACAGATACAACTACCATTTTCTTGTGGGTATTAGTCGCATAAATACAACAAATTAATTATAAAGGAACTATATATAAATGAGTGGTTGAAAAGGCAAATTTTATAGGTCTTGTGGGCTCACCATTTGAATGAATAGGACTTAGCCATAGCCCATGTAGTGATTGTTGTGGTCCATAAGATATTCCTTTGTTATCCAAATTATGGATAAGGATATACTAAACTATAATTGAGCTAACATACCCATGCTTGCACGTGGACAAGGGAAAATAATAAAGATACCGACAGCAAATTTGAAGATTTTAGGCAATTTGTCTCCATGAAAAATGGCATCATTTTTGTTATTTTCCAATTTTACTCTTTTTTTTTTTCTTTTCCAAATTACAAATGAAAAGGCATGTTTTTAAATAAATTTCAAAATTACAAGATAAAATAGAAGTTTTTAAGTGTGGGTATTAAAAGTAGTACAAGTGATTATTTTGTATGAATTTCAAATTTTATTTATAATTTCTATGTTTATCCGCTTCATTTGAATATAAATAAA